ATATCCTTATGGAGTTAATAGGATTTGCAGTCACTTTATTCAGGTTAAAGAGCCCTGTTGGCCTAGTGTTTACATGGGCTGCTTACCACAAGGTCAGCAGTTCAAACCCCAAACCACCAGCTGCTCCAAAGAAGAGAGACAACGTGCTCTCCTGTAGAGTCAGTCTCGGAAACCCACAGGAGCAGCCCTGCCCTGTCCTACGGGTTACCATGCATCGGCACCAACTCAACGTCAGTGAGTTGAGTGAGCCTGTTAATATGTTGACACTGTTCCTTGATCAGATTTCCAGAGTTGGCATTGACTCAACCAACAGTGAGTTTTATTCAGGTTAAGTAGCCCCAGTGGCGTTGTGAGGAACGTGTTCGTCTGCTGACCACAAGGCCAGCAGTTTGAACCCGCCAGACACTCTGCGGAGAAAGGTGAAGCTGTCTGCTCCTGTAAAGATTCTCAGCCTCAGAAACCCGTGGAGCAGTTCTACTCCGCCCTGTAGGGTTACTTTGAGTTGGAATGAACTCGATGGCAGTGCGCTGGCTTTTTGGTTTTCTTATTCAGGTTATAGGGACCCTTGTGCTTCAGTGATAAGAAGTGTTTGGCAGTTAACCCAAAATTCTGTGCTTGGAGCCCACCAGCCTCTGTGCGGGAGAAAGCTGAGGCAGTCTGCTTCCTGCCGGATTGTCAGGGAATCCTGTGGTGCAGTGCTGTGCTGCCCTGTCGGCGCCTCATAGTCAGAGTCAACTCGACCCTTTCAGGTTTGGTTTGTGAATCAGGTGGGCCACCGGGAATGCATAATAAAACTAGTGACAGGCAGTTTTTGTTAACAGTTTCCTCCCAATCATTCTCTCATATCCTGGATAAAGAATAATAACGGATTTATTTGTCACCTTATATTTTATTCCTAAAAGAATTGAAAGGATTCCTTTAATAATTAACTCATTTTCCTTGAGCCTCTCACAGAGTATTGGAAAGAATGAAAGACTAGTGTTGGCCACGTGCTCGCTGTCTTCTGCAACAGGAGGGACGAGGCTTTCCAGAGGGATGTGGTCATGGCAAAGCAAAGCACACCAGTCACTCATGTTTGGTACATACTCCTTTACGCAGAAATTACCCTCTCGCAGTTCAACTTAAAGGGGAAAAAAAGAGTTTGTAAATCCAGGAATCAGAAAATTTCTGCTTCTTGTGCTTCACGCAATCTTACTCTCCTAATCTACAACAAGAGATGAAGACCCGGCGTGCCTGCCTGTGCAGCCTGTAGATTTTCTGATTGTCCATGTGTCTCAGCAGTGTCTGTCTTGAAAGATAGGCCAGAAAAACTCTGCTGTCTTCCAATCTGGATGCAAGTGTGCCCAAGCCTACTGTTACCTTCTGTGGCATCTGTTACTTTGTGGTTGCCATCAGTTCCGTTTCCTTGGAGGTATTTGAAACTGCAATTTCTGTAGACAATTCTAAAGATAGGTTCAGCCATTCCTGTAATGCTGCTGTACTCACAAATACTTGTTGCATGCATTCATCTTAAGCGTCTTCATGCATATGATACAGTTTGAAACCGTTCTTAAAACTTTCTCATTGCCTTCATTTTTATGCCTGTACAGGTTTGAAATTTGCATCTTTCTGATTTCCACTTCATAGTGCTTCGAGCACATTACTCCTTTTACTTTATCTGTCTTGACTTGATGTCTGATCGTCAACACCCACTTTGCAGAGCCCAGGGTAGAAAGGGAATGTGCAGTTCTTCCTCGCTAAAATAGACACTCTTAATTCTGTGCTAATGACCTGACCAATATGTCCAGTCTCAGTCATGCATCACCATCACCTGTCTGATTGGTCAGTGTTGTGCATAGCCGTCATTAAATATTGTGAATGCCACCTACCTATAAATTTTTCTTTCCTGGACAGAGCTTAAACTTTTCCTATCTCTGATATGTAATCAAAACACTAAAACTCCAAGCTAAATGGATGTTCTTTCCTTTCATTTTGACCTGCTTTGTTTTTAATTTAAGCTCAAGTCTGATGACTGGTTATACCGTTCTTGGCTTATTTCTTCAGTGAGAACAAATCCAAAATAACATCGATGAAACACACAACACTTCTCTAGGTCCTTAATCCTTCCTCCCCCCACTATTATGATCTCAGTCCTACCTTGCACATCCAGGTAGTCTGGTGTACATACATTGGTATAGACAAGAGCTTTCAATTTACCGAATTCAGGGTAGATAAACCCCTCAGAAACAGTAACTGGAATAATGATTTCAGGGGAAGGGAAAGGGGAACTGATAATAATGATGGGGGGGGGGAACCCTTGGGGACAAACCAATACCAGGATTATAGGTAAAAGGACAGAAGGGGCGGTATAAGATGTGTGTAAGTAAAAATACATAACATATTATAGGTTTGTGAGGGTGGCCGGGACGGGGAGGAGGAAGGAACTGATATCAAGGAGTTCAAGAAGGAAGATAATGTTTTGAAATTGTTTATGACAATACTTGTACATATCCACTTAATATAATGGATGTATCGACTGTTCTATGTAAGAGCTTCCAATAAAATGATTTATTAATTTTTTAAAACCTAAATAAAATGGACACTGAAATAAAAGAGTAAGTTTCATGAGATGAACAATGTTTATGAATTTAGCAAATGCTCGAGCTGAAAGAATACCACAGCATGCTTCAGGTGCTGGCCCTGGGGTTAGAATCCACGTATCCCAGCTCCTTTTAATTACTGTTGATTGCTAGAGCCTATTCTTCCTGAACCTATTTAAGACATTTCTGCTATTGAAGATAAAGTTTAAAGTAGAAACAAAAGTCAGTCTTTGAATCACTTTACCTGCTTCCCTTTCAAGGCGTGGAGCCCTTGTGGTGCAGTGAATTAAGTATTGGGAGCACTAGCCAGGAAGATGGACAGTTCAAATCCACCAGCCACCCTATCGGAGAAATACGTGTCAGTTGTTGCTGTAAAGATTTGCAGCCTCTGGAAGTCCAGTGAGCGGTTCCAGCCTGTCCTGTAGAGTCTCTAGGAGTTGAAATCGATTCTATGGCACTGAGTTTTCGAGGGTGTCTCAGGACTGGGCTAATGACAGACGAGGCCAAGCCCACAAAGTAGTGGGCTTTGGGGGCCTCCTGCTCTTCTGGGACCTTTAGTGTTTGACTTAGTGTAACTCGACTCCACTACTGTTTGTTTGTTTTCCATTTAGAGACATTAACTAGAACTAAGAGGTGTCATCCCTCTAACATGAATTGTGCCAGTTTTCTATTTGTCTCTGCAGTACCAAGTCCAAAATACGAACCAGGCTTTTCACTTGTGTTACCTGAGACTGCTATCCCAAGTTAGGGTGGAAAGTGGTACTGCTGAATTTTCAGCACATTCATGTTTTCTGCCCCATGACATGACAATGAGTACTGGCATTCTTCTCCTGTGGGGTCGATTTTCTCCATTCGGTTCGCACTTTGAGCAGAGGGAGGCTTCATCTTTGCCTCCCAGCCTCCATTCTTGCTGCCCTGGCTCTTCTCCGGCTAGCCTCCTCCTGTTTCAGGTCCCCGCCCTGGTTTGGAAGCCACTTGCCCAAGGCTGCCGTCATGGGAAATGGTGCATTCTAACATTGTCTTCACGTGGTCTGTCATTGGTAGTTGCCCAGAGCTGGCCTCGTGGTGGCCTGGTGTGCAGAGGGCGCTTGTTTCAGAGGGTTTCATTGGCCGATTTTCAGGAGTGGAGCGCCAGCCCTTTCTTCTTTGTCTTCCTTAATCAGGAAGCTCTGCTGAAACTAGCCCCATGGAAGCCTCCACTGATAGTCTAGCTCCCTGGTAGAAGAAGGTTAACTTAGCTCTTAGGGCTTTTCTCAGATGTTTTAACACTGACGTTCTAGGATATCCTCTATACCTGTGTTCAATCACTCAATAGATCTCAGGATAGCACTTTAGGTTCAGGAAGAAACCTGCCCTTCTGGACTTGGAAGTAGCCAAGGCAACAGGACAAAACAGGCTTTAGTCCTTAAATCTCACCATTTAGACCCTGGCTGGGGCTGGCCGTTTGGAGGACTAGCTCCAGCTTTCCAGACCAAGAATTCAACTTGAAATTCACACTTGAACTCATCTGATTTGTTGCTGACCTAAGTAAGAGGGGTTTCAGTGACTAAATCTGTACTGCCTATCTGATTCCTATGCATTTAGTGCGTTTCTCCCTCAATAGATATTTCCTTGTTCTTCATGCTTTTGGATGTTTTGACTTCTGACTTGAGTACGAGGAATGTCTTCGAATGTGTTTTATGTTCAATGGCCTGCTAAGGAAATCACTGCCAGGGCTACTTTCAAGTGAGACATCCAAATCCCACATGGTGATCATCATGTTAATGGCTTTTTACTGTCAGTCTGACTGCTGGTCCAGTTTGGGACAGCTGACAACTTCACCCATGGATTTGTTAAGAGAAGATGGTCCCAGAAGAGCTGTGATGTGAAGAGTAGACCTTGGGAGCAAGATGGAGATCAGGAGCTGAGGCATGTCCATTTGCTGGTAGGCAGCAGCATATTATAGGAAGGAGCTGTGGTTGCATGAACATGGTGTCTGAAGAGGGCTGTGTATTTTCAAAGCCAGTAGAGATTGGTGTTGGCTGATTATCAGAATACCCTGAACGTTTTATCCATGCTTATTGCCATATCTTAAAGCTGGCTACATTCCAGTATTTTCACTGAAGTCTTTAGCCTACGGTTTCTCAAATGCCCTTCCTACCAACAGTTCTTACCAAGCAAATCATGAGAAGTGGTATAATGTGGGATGGCCACTAAAGTGTACTTGTGGGCAGCTTGGGAGGAGGGGGCGTTTTTCAATCCTGTCAAAGTGTGTAGTGATTCAGTTTTTCTTAAGTTAACTTTTTCTTTTTCTCACCAAATCTTGAAATGCTATCTCCACATTTCCCCAGAGGGTTCCCACTAGGTAATGCTGTAAACTCATAAATGTTGAAATACCTGTCCCTCCTGTCATTACATGACCTGTTTCTTGGTCATTTGTAGGAACTCAGAGAAATACATAATAAGCAACAGCTCCAGAAACAAAAATCCATAGAGGCCGAACGCCTGAAACAGAAAGAACAAGAGCGAAAGATCCTAGAATTAGAAAAACAAAAAGAGGAAGCCCAAAGGTGAGTCATTTGAGTGGATTGTGGACCCATCTGAAAGGAACTTTTGAGCATTTACTGTTCTTGATGTGACCTCTAAGTAGTGCTGCATTGGGAAGAGCCTTCAGACTCTAGCATTGGTGGCTGAGGTGGCTGTGGTAGTAGTAGTTGTGTGTGTGTGTGTGTGTGTGTGTGTGTGTGTGTAAGTTTTCCCATATATACACATCCCCTGAAGTTTCTGGGTAGCTTCCATGCCTCTCCTGAGCTTCTCCTGTGTAGAAAAGTGGAATTATACAATGAAATTGGGACACTTGGTATGCTCGTTTGCATGTCAATGACCAAAATACGTTTCCAGTTCACAGCCTTTTAATACCGGTGGAGGTCCCAGCCCTCGGTTTGAATCAGAGCCCCAGCCTGCTCTCTAAAGATCTTCAGTAACACTGACAGTGGGCCACTCGGCTCCTTTCTTCCTTTTTTTCAGCTGCAAATTAAACTGAATACAAAAGGAGAAAATTTGCCTCCACTACTTAGGCTCCAGACACATTTTTGTTTGGGTTTGTGTGAATGTTTGTGTTTGTGGAGTTTTGTTTAACTTTCTGTAGTTAAACCACAGCCACTTATTTGAACTTTAGGGATGTCTGAATCTATTAGTGGAGATTTGCTTTTAAAGTTTCAATGAATTTTAGACTGAAAAGCGAAAGACCACATGTTTCAATGACATGCTATAAATTATGAAATCAAAAAGTTGAAGAAATAAGGTATTTTAGGCAAATCCATGACTTTATTGGGCTGAGCATAGTTCAGCTGTCTAAATCCATGAGTGTTTTATTAGGATTTACACTCCTAGGTTGTATTTGTATCAGCGTGTGTAACTATTACTATTTATAGTCTATTAATCTGACTTTTAAAGCACAACTTTTTATTTTTTATGACAAGGGTACCAGAACAGTTTAGGGGATGATTTTATCATTTTCTTGGGGGAAGAGTGAGGATTCTTTGTCTCTTTTTGTGGGTTGGGAGCCCTGGTGGCTTAGCAGGCTCTGCACTGGGCTACTAACCACAAGGTCAGCAGTTTGAAATCACCAGCTACGCCTTGGGAGAAAGATGGGGCTTCCTACTCCTGTAAAGGCTTAGTCTCAGAAACCTACAGGGACAGTTCTACTCCATCCCACAGGATCTCGATGGGTTGAAATTGACTTACTTGATGGCAGTGGGTTTTTGTTGATGCTAAGTTTATAGAATGCTTTTATTGTTCATTCACCCTGTACTGACTTTATATACTATTATGAAATAAGAGAAGAATCACTCCCAATTTTACCCTGGGGGGTTAGGTTGGGGCCATCTTAATTTTCAAGGCCTAGATCTAATTGCAATTAAATATATGTCAATTCTTTTGGCCATTGCCAGGGAATCAATTCTGTAACGATTCAAGAGTAGACCTACCCCTATAGGGTTTCCAAAGCTGTAACTCTTTCTCCTGCAGAGAGAGTGGTGGGATCAACGCTTTGACTTCGCCACTGAGTGCCTCACCACTGTGTCACCAGGACTCCTGTCAACACTTTTGAAAAAACAAAACTTAGTTGAATTCATAGGACCCCTGGTGGCATTGTGATTACAAGTTGGGCTACGATCTGCAAGGTTGGCAGTTCACGGCCACCAGCAGCTTCTCTGGAGAAAGGTGGGGCTTTTTACTCCTGTAAACAGTTTCAATCGCGGAAACTCACAGGGGGCAGTTCTACCCTGTCTTAGAGGGTTTTATGAGTCGGGTGAGTTTTTTGAGTTGGAGTCAGTAAAATATATAGAAACTCTGGCTTAGTGATGGATGGTTATTATCTCAAAGATTCAAAATAGTCTGCTTTCAACTGCAAGTCATTAGGAGCTTTTTAGTGTCAGCAAGGAGCTCTAGTGGCATTGTGGGCTACGCATTGGGTTGCTGACCACAAAGTGTCAGCGGTTCCAGTCCACCATTTGTTCTACAGGAAAAAGAATGAGGCTGTTTGCGCCTGTAAGGATTTAGTCTCAGAAAACCCAAAGGGGGAGTTTCACTCTTTCCTAGAGGGTTGCCTAGAATTGACTTGTCATTTAGCATTTTGTTTATATGTGAATGTAAACATAGGCTGCATTTAGCTGTAATAGAATTTTTTCTTAATGATCTGATCGATATGGACTTACTTAAGCAATATTTCACGGGTACTGTTGAGCATACTCCATCTTCACAGATAATTTCTTCTCTTTTTTAATTAATAATTTTATTGAAGGGCTCTTACAAATTTTATAACAATCCCATCATTCAGTAGTATTAAACACACTTGTACATAATATTTCCATCAACGTTCCCAAAAACAATTTCTTTCTACTTGCGCCCTTGGAGATAATATATTCTTATGTGCTTTGCAAGTTGTTATGATTTTTTGTGTAGTTAAGTGCCAGTTTTTCAGTTGAGAAGTATTTTCGTTATTTTTATAACAACTTTCTAAGCCTCATCAGAGAATTTCTCTGATTTTGTAAATCACGTGGCTTTGTCTTGCTCTGGTTTGGAACCCTGAAGGCTTTTGTTGCCACCGGTTAGCCTGCTCCATCTGAAGAACTATGTCCCTTGATGTTGGCTGTGCATTGAGTAGATGAGGCTTTGTTGTGAACAGAGACAGTGTCGTGCTAAATTGGAATTTCTCCGTTGCTGTAATCAAGCATTTTTGTTGGCAGACGAGCTCAGGAAAGGGACAAACAGTGGCTGGAGCATGTGCAGCAGGAGGATGAGCACCAGCGGCCTAGAAAGTTCCACGATGAAGAGAGACTGAGAAGGGAAGAGAGTGTCAAGAGAAAGGACAGCGAGGAAAAAGGCAAACAGGAAATGCAAGACAAGCTGAGTCGGCTCTTCCATCAGCATCAGGAACCAGCCAAGCCAGCTGTCCAAGCACCGTGGTCCACCGCAGGTATGGCGGCCATGAACAATCCTAGGAAGAAGGCGACCTTCTTGCCCAGAAGATCTCAACATTTTCATATATGTAATCAGACCCCTTCTTGACTAATCGTTGGAAACGAGGAGCTGATCTGGTAGTGCAGCTGATCTGTTCAAAGCTACTTGTTCCCTAGCACCATTAACCATCTGGTTGCCATCAAAATGATTCTGACTCATTGATTCAGACTCATTGATTCTGTCTTTGGAGCACCTGTGTGCTTCAGAGGACTCTGCTCCCTAGGGTGCTCCCTAGTAGAACGGAGCTCAGTGACTGATCTTTCGGGCCTTTTTCCCCAGGCACGACTTACAACCTCTGTGGTAGTACTCAAGCACTTACCTGTTTGCACCACCCAGGGACTCTTCTCGAGTGCCACTCATTAGCTGTTTAATTCTCCACACCTGCATCACACTGACATCCAGTGTCACCTCTCTGCTACATGGAAGGCATGACCTTACTTGCAAAAAGAACCTTCTACTTCTCCAGTGTGTTACTTTTTCTAGGAAGTGCTGAGCTACTTCTGCAGCCAGAAGTAGAGCCTTCCCCCTTCTCCCCCACTTCATTCACTTGGCATTCAGGCCTCATGGCCTTAAGTGTTATTTTCTCTCCTTTTGAAAAAAGAGTGACCTTTTTTTTGTCCTTTGACCATAATTTTCCTCTTAAAATAACTGAAGGCATCTAATTTGAAGTAGAAAAGTTATCCCTTTAATATTAGATGCAAGCATTAGTTTATGTGCTTCTATAATACTTACTATACAGCTTTGAAAATAATACTCATTTGAAGGAACTGATTCCCCACTCCAGTATGGTGAGTTGTATTGATTTTATTTGATTAGCCAGTGGTGTGCTTTTAGAAAAGTATACATACAGAGAAAAAAGAAACCCACTTTTGAGTGGCTCCCCGAAGGTTTGCACAGTGCCCGTGTTGCAAAGTGGGCGGGGATAGGAGTAAGGTAGAGAGTTGACCAGGTGCCACTCGGCCTTGAGATACTCACTGCCTGATGACAAAGGCTGGTAGATCCACAAAGGAGCAGCCCTGACCACAGGAGGATAAATATATTTTTCACATATACTTTTTGAACTGAAGATCCATTCACCATTGCTTAATCTTAGGCCACTTGTTTTAAGTTCATTGTGTTTCTTGTGGGCAAAAAATAAAGATTTCCAGCCCTTTCTGTCATGCCTTTGGCTGTTTCATGTAGACCGCATGTACACGTAGGCACACGCACGCGTGTGTGCACACACACACACACACACACACACACACACACCAACATGCCAACACACCCTGCTTTTCACAGAAGATAAGTGTGGTTTCCACAGATGATAAATGCATGTCAAAATACTTGCAGCTCTGGGGCTAAAACAAAAAAAGAAAAGGTTCTGAATTGTTGTTAACAGAAATCCACAATATGCCCTGCTTGCGTACATTTAAATTTTTCAAATTTCATATAAGATACCACCTCTTCTTATCCCTGGGCTCATTTCCCTGCCTAAGAAATGTGGAGGGGCGCATACTTTGTCAGGGACTATTGGTCATAGCCATTCTTGGTGAAATCAGCAGGTTATTTTCATGAATTTTAAAAATATGGATATTATGCTGCTTTGCCCCTTTCCAACTGTGAATTTCCTCCTTGGCAGATTCAGATTTGGGGCTGCTTCATAATTGCTGGATTGTGCTTGACACCTGTGTGGGAGGAGGGGCTTCGATGCTCACTTCTGGCTCATTCGCAGAGGCAAATGCAGAGGGACCTGTGTGCACGGCCTTCCATGGCTCCTGGCCTGGACAACCGGCTCTCCTTCGGCTCTCCCTAAGTGTTTCAGAAACCTGGAATGCACGGAAATCGGTGTTTGATGGAAGGTGGCAGAGAAGCTGGTGGTTATTTGACTTTTCATCATGCCCTTTAGTTTCATGTAATAGTTTATTTGTTGTTTCTCTAACAGAAAAAGGCCCGCTTACAATTTCAACCCAAGAGAATGTGAAAGTGGTGTATTACCGAGCACTGTACCCCTTTGAGTCCCGAGGTCACGATGAGATCAGCATCCAGCCTGGGGATATCGTCATGGTAAGGGACACTCTGGCCAAAGGGTGGTTTCTGTTGGTGATCTGTCCTCTTTTGTACATTTTTTATTTGCCCTTTTTTTTCCTTTCAAGAATGAAATCCAGTAATTTCTTTGCTATATAGGCCCCGTCATCTTCCTTTTCCATTAGAATGAAAGATGCCATTATAACTCAGTATTTAAAAATAGAATTGCTAAAGAAAGTGTGCCCTTATCACAGCCTTAGCATAATTTTTTTGAAAATCTGTAAGTGCCAGATAATTTCAGATTTGAGGTCAATACTTGCACATTAAAAGTCTGTAAGTAGATTTAAGTGCAAAAGTGCTCTGTCATCTTGTTCACAAATGCCAACTGCAACTTTTGTCTCTGGATCAAAGTATCTTTTCCCCCTCTTTAACTGTGTGAAAAGAAATTACAGTAAATAACAGTACATTTACTTTTCTACTTCATACATTATAAATATAGTAAAAAGTTCAATTTTTTGTTTCGTCATAGCTTTTACGTTCTGATAATGAAATATAATCTTATGGTTGGATTTGAAACTGTAGTGAGCCATTTAAGAAAGAAAATGAAGTAATTTGGTTGACCTAGACCAGAGGTCAGCAATCTTTTGAGATGGAAGGGCTAATCCTGTCCTTCACAACAATTTAAAAGTTATTAGAGCGCCATAAATATATTTTTATGAACAAAATAACCATTATCTGATGAATATCTTTTAAAATGTTTCCATTTTACTTCAGAGCTGCATGTACATACTGAAATAGCTGCACATGGCTCGAGAGTCACAGTCTGCCAGCCCCCGACCTAGACAATAGCTCCTTCATCTAGTTATTCAGTTAAGAATAAGATTCCTAGATGTGATCAGACTTTGCATTAATGCTAGCTTTCTTTCCTTCTTTCTTTTTCTTTTTTTGAGAACCACTCAGAATTTTAAAAGAAGTACTAAAATTAAAAATGGAGACAAGCCTACTTGTCAGACTAGGGCTCTGTCTGACACACGCACCCATGTTGTGTTTGCATCACATCTCTGTGTTGAGAATATATGCTCTTCAGGGGGCAAAAAAAGTATATAGGGGGAAGAGTGTGTTTGACACTCAAAGAAATCAGTCTCTTCTCTCCTCTCCTTATTTTTGATAGCTGCTTATTCCTTAATTAACATACATTGGACATAAGGGAGTCAAGCCCAAAGGTCCTAAAAGTCAGAAATCGCTTTAAGAATAATGAAAGCTCTCGTCACATATATTCTTCACGCAGTGGCCATTGACTGAGACACGGGGTGCTGCCTCACTCACACACAGAGGGCTGGACTGCACACACGCTGGCCCCACCCTTGCCTGTGAAAGGCGATGGAAAGCCCAGCAGGGGGTTTGTGAGCTTTCTCCATGCTTCGTCTCTCAGTTCCTGCTCCGGGTTTCCCAGTGCTCTGAGTCCCCTGGACTCAGGTTGCCTCGCATTCTAAATGCTGTGTTAGAGCAAAGCGATTGCGGAATATACAAATACCCTGAACACTGAAAATAGAATGTAAACTGAGGTCGGGTCTGATTATAAAGTTAGTTTTTATATGTTTTTAAAAAGTGGGCCTGGAGGGGTGAGGGGTGGAGAGGGAACGCTGGTATTTCTGAAGCAAGATTTTCTTGCAAAAAGTGCAGAAAAGGAAAGTATAGGCTCTCTTGATAAGGAAATGTTTATGGTAAGAAAATGCTATAGATGATCGATAACGCAGTGAGAAGGTGTTGCTAATTTTCAAGGGAACCTCTTTGGGTCTGCTTCTGTAATCCTAATCCTGTTGCAATGATCTTTCATCCACTTGGCAAGTTTAGCCAGCAGCTTGATTAAACGAGTAGAGTTTAGAGATGATAAGAATAAAAGTCAGACTAAACCGTTTCATTAAACATATATTTTGCCTTGCTTTCAAACCTTTGCTTTCCTGGTGGAGGTTAAAGGGGAATGGGTAAGTGCCATGTAATTGTCAGGAAGTCTGCATCTTCTTCAGTGTTTTGTGCTTTTACATCGCTTTAATTCTGTACATATATCTTTGAGTGTTGTCTTGGCAATAAAAACATGTTTTGAGTTTATGTAGTAGGCTGCGCTTAAAACAAAGAAAGGTAACATGCTTAGAGTTTGTGTGTCTGGTTTCTATTTACAAGAGTCCATTTTTAATACTAACTTGGACTCTATTAGTTATTAGCTGCAGTCTCCATTTCAGGCCTGGACCAAATAAACTTGACATAAAATTCTGAAATTTTTGTTTTTTAATTTTGAAAATATGAAAAGAATAAAAGGAGAGTGCTGGACTAAGTGTATGGTTGAGAAAGGCCTTTGCTAAGTGTATGGGCCATGGGGGCACACAACTCTTGGCAGGTTGTATAGTGGATGGAACCATTTAGAAGGCCATTTGGTGATACCAAATCTCCCATTCTACTTTCCTCCTCCCCTGCTCTGTACAGATATGTGTGTCCCTGGACATTCACTGCAGCATTGCGGGTAAAAGCAGAAAGGAACAACCTAATTTTTCCAGCAGTAAAAAATGGTAAAATAAATTCTGATACAGCTAAACAAGAAATACAGTGAGATGTGTGAAAGTTCCATAGATCTACATAAACAAATCAGCTGTTCAGTGAAGAAGCAGAAATTATATGTGGAATGTAACTTCATTTTTATTTAACACAGTGTGTGTATGTGTGTACCTGCATCATTAATTATCTTGGAATATGCATTTTACAACTGTTAATATCTTTGGGCAGTAAGGAAAGGGCTTTCACCTATATTAATAGTAAATTTATAACATTAAAAGAAATGCCTAAAATTTTTCTCAATTTTTTTATATCAGATATCGTAAGTACAGCAGAGAATACTACCAGAGTGGACTGGTTTTTACCTTGTAATCGCACATTTCCCAAATCAATAATGAAATGTAATGTTTACTGTTAGGTCTAATTTATTGTGGTTTGCTGAAGGAACAATAGTGGTCTCGTTTTGTAACAAACGCAGCATGACCCTCCGAATGCCATTCAGCAGTATTTCTGAGGCTATAAACAACAGGGGACAGTGGAGATTGACATTGAACGACAACAGTATTTGTGTTGTTGTTCGCTTCCTTCCATAAAGTTGGCAGGTAAAGAACAGGAGCTTGTCCAGGGTTCACTTTTACTTTTGTGGGTACAGGGTGCTCAGAGTTCTCAAGCTCACAGCCTAGACACAATTTCCTTTTAAAGTAGGAAGTCTTGGGGAGAGACTTAAAGAACGATTTTGACAAAGCTTGATTGTCAGCCCACGTTTCTCCACACACACTTTCCCATACTTCACGGTGTGATGTAGGCGTAGAAGGTGATGTCTGCCAGGTTGGTGCTCTCGTAGGTGGGTGCCACAGGGTTTGTTTGGTTGCCATCTTTATGGAAGGATACTGCCAGGGCATTCTCTCGTACCACTTCTCCTTTTCGTCGAACTGCCAGTTCACCAGTGAGCTCCACCAGGGCACGGTGTCTGCCATTTGTATGTAAGATCCTTTGAGAGAAATGGGGAGACGCATGTCAAGCAAGCACTCGATGAAGTTCTCTAAGAAGGCTCGCTGCAGCTGAGAGGCATTTGAAGAGGACAGGAATCAGTGCAAACGGATGTGAGGGAAGACTTCTCCGTGGAAGCCTCTTAGTTGAGTTTGACCCTGACAGCTAGGGTTCAGAAACTTTGGATGTGCATGCCCTCTCCTCTGATCTTCGGGCCTCTTTACTCGAAGGGAATAAATCAGATCTGCCATCTGTGCTATATAGAATTAGTAAGAGGCGTGAAAAGGCCTGCCGACTGCTGTTGTGCTGAGATTTACCCTAAGGACACGGACGGAAAGCACTTTCAGAGGTTGGCGAACTTGGTGGTTCGCTGGTCCTTGGACATAGCTGAGTACACCAGAATTAGTGAGGGGAACTTCAAACAAACAAAACCCCAGCATTCCAGGGCTCCCCCAGAGACTCTGGGACCTTTGATTGCACAGACAATACTCAAAATCCACTGCAGGTGGTTCTGGGTTAGGGAGTCTGTTTCGGGAAACCATTGGTCTAACAATCTCTTTTTCCTGTCAGGACTAATTCTCAATAATTCCTGGAAAATTACCTCTTCTTATTAATTTCTAGGGAAGGATTAGGGGTTTGTTTACTATGTATCAGCTACCAGACAGTGAGTTCATTCTGGAAATTTGTATATTCTAACTTGGTATTATTATTCCGGTCACAATTTCAACTCATTTCACCCCACTTGCTTGTTCTCTTGCTAGAGAAACAGTCTTAATATCCCTGCCTACCAGTTAGGGGAGCCTTCTATTTCGAGCTAACAAAACACATGAAACATGTTCTGCTACCCACAGTCTTCTCGGTCTCCCAGCAGCTGCTACCAGCTGATCCCAGTTGGGACACAGTTGAAACCTGCTTGCGTCCAGGCTTTTTGTCATGCTCCAAGGGGCGATGGCATTTGCTTTCCTCTTTATGACCAGGTCAGAGGTCTTAGAAGATTAATATTACCCAATAAATATGGCAGCCATCACACATATTCAGGAAAAAGTTATATGTAAGCAACTTAATTGATATGGGGCTTTCGATAAATGGTCTTGACCCTGATGGCTGCTGTCTGCACTGGACCATTGCATCTATACCCTTCAATGAACAAGGCCTCATTGCTATGGAATTAGTTATTATGAGCCACGTTTTTTAGATCAGCTATCTTACATACCAGGAAAGTAAGACATTAGATGAGGTTCATCTTGCCCACTTTGAGGATGAGCCACTAGACTGACCTCAGAAGCTTTGTTTTATTGCTGTGGGTGTGGTTGAATGAAATTGTATTGCATGCAGACAGTATTGTTCATATTAAGAAAGTGTACGCTATATAGCCGGTGGATGTTTGCTAACTTGTCCTTGTCTATCAAAAGCCCCTGTAGTATTTTTCCACAGTTGGGTTGGCATTTTGGATAAAATTCCCCAAATCCAGGAAGAAATATTTTTCACTGTCAACTGTTGCTCTGTTCTTTTTCTTAGTGGTTAATCAAATTTAGATCATAAGAGTGTTGTGTTTTGTTTTTTTAATTATAGCCTTTGAACCTTAAAATTAACTTTTAATTATCCACTAAAATGAACGTTTCCAGAAGAATGAATCAAACTAATTGAGTCTATTGTTTACCCACAATTAACCGGTGAGTTTCCTTTGTGAAAAGTGAAATACTGAGCTCACATTACTCCCTTACCCCTCAGGAGGAGCAGCTCGGGCTTGCCGAGAGAACTGGGGTGGTAGTGTCCAAGTCTACTACCACCCTCCAGTGCTGCACTTCCTCGCCATCATATCTGGGTGACCAGGCAGGGTGCGGTCAGTTCACAAGGGTGTAAGCTGGCCCTGCCCACGGGGTGGGGCATTTCCTCAGCACTTCAGGTCCTGTTCCAGAGACTAGCCAAGACGTCTTTGCCAGCCAAGACACTCTGTCTGAAGCAGATGACGGTAAACCGTGGGCCATGATTAAATAATGCAGCGGGAACTCAAGGATGCCCACCCTGGAGAGATCAGCAGGAGCCCCAGACAGGATGCAGTCAAGGAATGAATTTTAAAGCCCTAGAGGATTAGGGCACGGGGTATGTTAGTGGAAAGGAGGTGCAATAGAGACCAAAGCCCAGATAATAGACCTGCACCACAAAGTTGGAGGTGGACTACAGGAGCGGTGGCTTTTAAAAATCTGTCATGAATCATTGCTCCTGCCCTAGGCAGCATTCTAAATGCACTCACTCTTCACACCAGCCTTCACACAACAGGCACTCTGATTACCGCCATGTTACACCTGAGGAAAGGGAGGTGTCAGCGTTAACACTTGCCCCAGTCCACCAGTTAATGATTGGAGAGTCCAGATTGAAATTGAAGCCGTCTTAGCTGTAGGGTCACTCTCTCCATCATTACACTGCGGACTGAGGCCACACTGTCACGTGTCTTGCTCGAGTTCCTAATTCCCTCGGGCTGGGTGTCGCCCTTGCTCCTGGAATAGAGCCCAGAGTGGGAGAACTTGCCTCTGGGCTTCTTGAGAAAGCTCGGAGGCTCTGGTGTGACCTGGCCTGGCTATTTCTAGCGCAGAGCAGCTGCAAAACGGAAACGTGTCCCAACATCACTGGTACCCTCTAAATGAGGAAGGAAGGACAGGCAGCCACCTGATTTTAGTATGAGGCCCAAGGGAGCAAAGAGGCACCTTAAACCCCTCATGTAGAGAAACGGGGCTGCCCAGCAGAAGGAAGGTATGAACAAAACTGGGGATTTGAATGAAAAGTGGCTAATGTGTTCATGTCCGATAGAAGTGTTAGTGAGGAAACAAGAACTGTTAAGGCCAAAACAGAACCTTTGGCATTAATACACTTTATCTGAGGGAATTCCTTTGGTTGTCTGGAGAATTTTCAGCTTTATATGGAAACAAAGGTTTCCTAAGATGGAAACGTCCTTTACTGAATATCTTTTAAGTAACACATAGTATTAGCGATCTTTGTCCACTTCTACACTGAGGGCTTCTTTTGAAAAAATCCAAGTGAGCTCAGAAAGAGTATGTCCTTGGGGTAAAGACCTAGGCCCGGTATTGTAGGCTCCTATGGTGTATTTCTAGTTGTAGCTTTTAAAGGAAGCACCATACCATTTTTCATCATGGCTGCACAATTTTACAATCCCATGAGTACTGTTTTAAGTGTTCCAATATCCCTACAGCCTTGCCAACATTTGTTAATTTTTGGTCTTGTTTTTAAAGTGCCATTGTAGCCAGGGTGAATGGTATCTTACTGTAGTTTAAATTGTTCATTGATCTAATGGCTAGAGAAAGGAACCTTGATGGTGCTGGGTAGGGCATTGGGCTGCTAACCACAGGGTGAAACCCAACAGCTGCTCCAGGGAGAGAAATGAAGCTGCATGTGCCCATAAAGACTTACAGTCCTGGGAACATTATGGGGCAGCTCCACTCTGCCCTCTGGTTTCACGGAGTCAGAATTTACTCAATGGCAGTGGGCTTGGTCTTGTGGCTAATGGTTTGAACATTTCTTCACGTGTTGTTGGTTGCCTGAATGTCTCCTTTGATGAAGTGACTGTTCATATCCTTTGCCTATTTTCAATTTGCTTTTATATGTATGTATACGTATATAAAGAAGATTTTGTGCGTGTGAATTGGGTAAAGTTTACAGAGCAGACCATCAGTTTTGCATTCAGCAATTCATACACAGTTTCTTCATCTCTTTCATTACAATCCCTTTAATTTTGCCCATTTTAAAATTAGATGGTTCATCTTCTTGGTGGTGTTAAAGTTTTTATAAATTTTAGAGATTAGATCTCCTTATGTAGGTCATAGCCATATTTTTCCCTCTCCAATGTGTAGGTTCTCATTTTTTTGTCTTTTTAAACTATTGAACTGAAAATCCAGTTCAGAAACAGCTCAGACTTACTATTCTGACAGCCCGGAGCCATTCAGATAGCCTCTGGCCTGGAACTGAAGCCTTCCTTCCTTCCCAAAGCCTGCTTTTCAGCCAAGCAATAGATGGGGCCATAATATAGACAGTAATACTCAAGGACAACTTATTCCAAATATTTCTTTGGGATCAGCAGGACAATATTGCCTGAGAGCAAAGAAGGGAAGGCAAGGAAGGAGTAGGAAGGGCAGCGAGAGGAAATGAATGGGGCGAGTGCGGACATACTGGGGGGATGCTGCCAGGGTCACCAGACGCCCAGCCTCGGTGCCGACTGTCCAGCTCTCCCCACAAGCACAAGAAAAAAATGTCAAATTAAAAAATTGCCTTATTACTCTATACCGAGCACAGATAGATGACTTATTTACTTAATAAGAGTGTTGTGCCTCCCACTTTTTTTTAAAACTCAAATGTTTGAATGGATTAGAAAACTGGTATTTTTCCCTACCTGCCCATTCCTGTGATTTCTAAACGACAGCATTAACAGCCAACGGAGTGTTGAGTTTCTTAGCGCCGTAGGCGATAGAAGAAAGAAAAGACAGTTTCTGACAGACCGTTCGTCTTTTGAGCTGGGAGCAATGAAAATCATTTTCTAATAGTGGATGTAATTAGTTTCCCAAATCATTCTGCTATCGCTCTTGAAATTGCGGGGGTAACCTTGAAAGGATAAATAAAATCAATTTGGCCATTTTGAAAGATCCCTTTGAGTCGCAATTAATTCGACACGCAAACAGTAAAAGCACTTTGTGTATGTAGTAAGTGGCCTCTGAAAGTGTTAAAAGCAGAATCGCTATTCTCCTGCGTACCTTGGTGAGGATTACAGTGAAAGCCATGTGAGAGCAGTGTGGGGTCTTAATAAAATTAATTGTTGCCCTTTTACAACCGCTCCCATTATGTCCTCATGGTGTGGCTGTGGTGTTGTTAAATGACTGAGCGCAGCCGTCCACGTTGCTTCCCGCAGAAGCCAGCCAGGCGTTGCCTTTTAACTCCTTGCCCCTGAGCTGTATAAACAACACTTGGCTGTTAGAGGATTTCACTTAGACTGCTGAATGTATATTGATTATACCCTTTGCCTCCAACATTCACACAAAACTGTTCTCGTTCTTTCTTTCATAGTCATAAGGCTTCTAGAGTGATACAGCCTGTCAGATTACTTTCCAATTCAAAACATCTAAAAATTTACTGTATGCTCAGCACCTTGGTCACTTGACAGCCATTATTGGGAAAAGAAAATCTGAAAAAGTATACAGAGTAAGAACTCAAGCTCCAGTGCTTGCTGCGCTTCCCTGAGTTCATGTTTTCTGATAAAATTCCCAGACTCTCTAGAGTGAAACGAAGAAACCTCTTTGTAGTCATTCTGTGTCTTTAACAAGGTCAGAGACTCAGGAAGGTGCATGTGGGGCCTGATTGATTGCCACTTACATTAAACCTGGTGACTTTCCTGCAGGTGGATGAGAGCCAAACTGGAGAACCCGGATGGCTTGGAGGAGAACTTAAAGGAAAGACAGGATGGTTCCCTGCAAACTATGCAGAGAAAATTCCAGAAAACGAGGTTCCTGCCCCAGTCAAACCAGTGACTGATCTGACCTCTGCACCCGCACCTAAACTGGCTTTGCGAGAACCCCCCGCGCCCTCCTCAGAGCCCTCTGCAGCCCCCAACAACTGGGCCGACTTCAGCTCCACGTACGTAGCCATGGTTTCAGGGCTCCTGAAGCCCCACCGCAGCCACTGGTCTCTTCTGAAGCGCTCTTGCAGTCTCGTCGTCCTGCTAACCAAAGGGCCGGGCTCTGGGCATTAGCTCTCTTCTCCATCCGGTCTCCCAGCCAACGGTGTTCTCTGAGCTGGAATTAATTATATCTTTGCCCGAAAAATGACATAGTTGGGTGCAAAAGAAAGCCTATGATCTTGTTTAGCTAATTCATATCTTTCCTTCTTGTGGAAGAAATGGATAAATAGAGTTTCCTAATCATGTGTTTTGACACCCATGTCAGCAGCAAATGTCCAGAGTCATTTCCTGTATGTAAATTGCAATTGGGTGGGGCGAGGGGGGGCTGGGTTCCAGAAATTGAATTCAGTCATGCGGTTTTGGTTAAGCTATGGACCGGTTTCCGTTGTAAGCCCTCACACGGAGGTGCAGTGGCGTGGAGAGGTGTGTGCTCTTGGTCATCAGGAAATGGCATTCGAGAGCCGCGGCGAGCAAGGCCTTGACTTGAGAGCCCCGTTCCACCGTAAGAGCCACTCCACGCTGCGGGCCACAGGCCAGGATGGAGGCACTCGGTTGTCTGCCAGCATGCCGTACTGGCTTACCAGGGAAAGAGAGTCGAATAAATGTTTACAATCGTTTCGCAAGTCCAGTCACCTTTCAGATGAAACAAATCAGACACGGAGAAAGAAGAGATGGACCCGGTGGAGAGAAGAGCGGCTCGTGAGCCCGGGCAGGAGGACGAGTGTAAGGGAGCACAGGATGTTCACACTTGTCATGTCCAAGGGAGACTGTGCTAAAGAAGAGCCTTCTGGCTGCGCTTGGCTCTCAGAAAGAAAGGAAAAGAAGAAGCACCTTTGGTTATCATGACATCCAAGTGGAAGACTTCATCTCTTGATCTTGCTTTGAAAGGTTGGGTCTTTAAAACCAGAGTCCAGGTTAACTAGGACACTAAGAGCTCCGCCTTCCAGCACTTGGCTTAGACCAGGCAGTGTGACTCCCGTCCACGATGACTGTGTGGTGTGCGGCGCTCCCCCATAGATGGTGGGCGTCCTTTCTATACCAAGAAGCAAGATGTCTGCTTCTGATTTTCGAGTGCAGCACAAGTCGACGTCCCTTGCCATAAAATCGACCCCCGTGTGAGATGGCACCATGTCTACAGAGTGCCCAGCATTTTCTTGGCTGTACTCTTCTCAGAAGCAGTTCTACAGGCCTTTCCTCTGTGGAAATGAGTTCTGGGTACATAGTGGGCTGTTTTAGTGTGTCGCTAACCTCCAGATTTGCAGTTCAAAACTGCTCCTCAGGGAAAGAGGAGGCTTTCTACTCCCATAAAGGGTTACAGACTCAGAGACGCACAGAGGCAGCTCTACCCTGTTCTGTAGGGTCAGGATGAGTCAAAATCGACTCAATGGCAGTCCGTGTGAGTTTTTCTTCTGTGGAAGAAAAAGGTGTGTTTAAACCTCCAGGTGATGTTAGCAACTGGTGACCAACAACTTACACTGGCCACCTGGGTTCTGTGACTGCGAACGCTGTAAAGAGTAAATCACACATAGCCCTGCACTCCTGCAGACATTTTCACTTAAAAGGATAACATCGCCAAACTCGAGCTGACCGTGAGATCCAGGAGAGCAGGGTACCTGGTGCCCCAGTGTACGATCAGCGGAGTGGGAAAGTGGAGTTTGGTAGACCCCTCTAACATGTGGCATGTCACGCACATGATGATACTGATCCTGTGAGGACGTGTCTGGTGTTGGGGTATAAAGTGCAGAAGAGCCCGTGAAAGCCAGAGCTTGGTGGGATTCCATTGTGAGTGCAGGTCTTGCAAGGTTTCCGACTTCGACGGCTGCGGTCTTCCCATTATTCTGTGTTTACTTACGTGGGGGAGATTGGGATTTGCCTTCTCGGAGGCTCCGGCTCAGGCAGACTTCACTGTGTTCCTCGCTCCAGCATTCCACACGACCCTCGTAACTAACAGTGGTGGCAGAGTCTTGACCCCATTTGAAGAAATCAAGTACTGTCCCCAATGTGGAAACTGAGGCTCAGAGGAGCTGTGTGATTTGCCTGAGGCTCGTCGCTATGGCTGACGCCGGCTTAAGCTCCTTGCTCTCTTCCTTGTTCTTTAACCTTCGAGCCCCACATGGCTGTCATGGGCCCCTCGATGGTTGAGGGTGAGAAGCTGGTTCCCGCTAACACATGGTGGCACACTCTTCTTCCCAGGTGGCCCACCAACACGGGTGAAAAGCCAGAAACGGATCATTGGGATGCATGGGCAACCCAGCCCTCCCTCACCGTCCCCAGTGCTGGCCAGTTACGGCAGAGGTCCGCCTTTACTCCAGCCACGGCCACGGGCTCCTCGCCATCTCCCGTGTTAGGCCAGGTAAGGCTGTGCATACCCACCACTCAGCACATGCTTGCGGGGGAAGCCTTTTAGAAGTAAGTCTGGTCGTGCAGACCTGGGTCCTCTGGCAGAGTAGGGTCGCTCTCTGTTTTCCCCAGGGCCAGCGAGAGTGCCCGGGAGGGTAAGCGCCTGCCTGGGCAGACAGTGAAGCATCTGCACTGCAGTAATGGCATTTGAGCCATAAATTAAAATGGGTACGATTATATTAAAATACAATAAGAGGACTGGCTTACCAGACAGTAAAGTGTGTTTAGGGAAAATCATGCCAGTCAGTTTATTTGGGCAAACCATTGTGTGCTTATCAGATCGTGTTTGTTGCTAGGTGCTGTTGAATCCCTTGTGCCCCGTAGTGACCCTGTGTACAAAGAACAAAACACTGCCCAGTCCTGCATCATCACCATCGATGCTCACCTGGGTCAATCCATCTTATCCAGAGATGCCCCTTTACCAAGTTCTGTCCTTGACCACATATCCAAGTACATGAGCCGAAGTCTTGCCACCCTTGCCTCTAAGGAGCAAGCACTCTGGCTGTTGTACTTCTTCCAAGACAGATTTGTTTGTTCTTTTGGCAGTCTGTGACACTTTAAGTATTCTTCATCAGCACCATCATTCAAATGCCTCCATTCTTCTCTGGTCTTCCTTAATGAATGTCCATCTTTCACATGCAGATGAGGCGATTGAAAAATACCATGGCTTTGTAGGTACACCTTAGTTTTCAAAGTAACATCCTTGCTTTTCAAAGGAGAAGCTCTTAAATACCCTGCAAAGAGTGAGTCTTTGGGACAGGATAAAGGTGACAATTCTGAATCTTTCTATATTTTTAGGAGATGGATAAAGGAGTGAAGTAATTTTTATAAATAATCAGTCAAGCCAAATGGGGCCAAGCCAGGGAGCTAGGGGGTGGTGGGATTGCGCGCAGCCCTGGGCAGAGGGAGGTTGGTGGGAGAGCGGTGGGGCAGCACGCTGCCATTGAGGCGAAGGGGAGAAGAGTCACATGAGGGAGACCGCAGAGGAGAAGAGATGGATTCACAGTGCCCCAAGGGGCACAAAGGAAAGGAAGAAGCACCAAGAATGAGGTAAAGGAAGGAGCAGAGAAGTGGGTGTTGAGGCAGAAGTGAGGAGAGGAGGCAAGACAAGGTTAGGCGGTCGAGCCTTCCACACAGAGGAAGGAATCAGAAACGTGTGAGCTCTTCAAATGAGAGACTAGAAATCCACAGGGCCCTGTGACTGGAAGAGGGGAAGCTAGCAAGCAGAGAGAGGTCTTCTCTTCGCTTCTGCCTGAGCTTAGCACTCAGCAGCAGCAGATGCCCAGTCGATGGTGGCAGAGTAGTGGAGGAGGGCACTGTGCCCATTAAAGCCAGTGGCAGTGTGGTGAGTCGGATTTGGTTGTGACTGGGATGGCATAGGTGAAGCCCGACTGAAATGAGCGAGGAGAAAGGGGCGGCTTGTGGAGGAGAAGAAAAGGAGCCGGGTAGGGCGAGGAGTTCTCTCGGATCCCCAGAGACCCACATTGGTTTATGTTGGAAATGGTATTAGAACACAGAGAAGCAGACAGGGTTCTTTTTCTCCTGGAGGTGCCAAGGTGAAGAGAGGCTGCAGAAAGAAATGGGGGAAGAAGTGAGGTCTTGCTGCCAGTCATTCTGAGTGAGAAGAGGGCCGGAGGAGCATAGGAGAGATGCGGGCAGGCAGATGCAAACTTGGGACTGGGCAGTGGGAGAGTAAAGAAGTGCTTGGCTGAGTGACCCTGGAGTCTGTGATGTTCACCACCGCACATGGCTTTGGCATTGCTAGATTGCGTCGTAGCTCTGGACTAGGAATAACAACGGTCTTGTAAACTGTGATGGGGGCAGCGGTGGTTCAGGTATGCACCCTCTATGTAGGAGGCTTGGTTTAATTCCTGGCCAGTGAATCGAATGCACAGCCTACACTCGTCCGTCAGCAGAGGCTTGTGTGTGGCTTTGATGCTGAATAGGTTTCAGCAGAGCTTTCAGACTAAGACAGACTAGGAAAAAAGCCTGGCTATCTGCTTCCAGAGCCAGCTAGTGAACACCGTACGTGCATGGCGTCACCACGAGGCAGGTGCCTGCCTGTCAGTATGAATACTACTACCAGAGCTATTAGAGCAGCACTGTGCACAGGTATCAGCATATTAACTATGTGCAGATACTAAACGTTCTTAACCACCTTTTGAAGCTGGTCATGTAATGAGGAAGTGACAAACCTGGGATTTTAGCCCCGGCTGGGGTTGTGAGGTCACTCCCCATGACAAGATTGAGAAGGTAGGCACGGCTGAGGTATCCCGGGAGACTCTGGAACACCACCACCGTCACTGACGGTAGAGCGGAAATGGCTGGCTTCCAGTCCATTCTTGGCAGAGAAGTAAGTGAAAGTGGCTGATGGGATTCAGCAGTTCAGAAGGGCTTTGGGACCTGGGGTGGGGACGGGGTTCACTGTGACAATGAGAGGTAAAGGACTTTGAGCCCTGGGAAACCAAAACCCAAGCCTGCATTGTCTGGTGAACACTGAGGCTCAGCAGCCCTGTAGGGCAGAGTAGAACGTGCCCCTAGGATCCCAAGACTAAAACTTGAAGCAAGCTGACTGCCGCAACTGCTTCTGTGCAGCACCTGGTGAGTTTGAACCACTGACCTACCGGGGAGGCTCTGGCCGCCTAACTGAGGTATCACCAGGGCCCCTCAGGGTCCTGGGAAAGCCCGAGAAAGTTCTGAGGGAGGCGAATGAGGGCACAGTGAAGCTGGAAGGGAGCCTGGACCTCAGAGGGCTAAAGAGGTGAGAACCTTGAAGCCTGAACTTCCTGACGTGGCTGCAGAGACAAATTGTAAATGAAGCTCCCTATTTATCTGTTGGGATCGTAGTTCACGATCAGTGTAAAGTAACTTCCGCAGGCAAATCTGTTTGAAGGAGTTGATTTGGAGCATCATTACGCTTCGTTTCTTTTCTTTACATAGGCATCTGGAAATGGATATTACTGTTTAGTAATGGGTTTAAGATACGGTGTGGTCTTATGAAGCACTTTTTATTCTATTTTTTTTAATTAATCATTTTATTGGGGGGCTTTTACAAATCTTATAACAATCCGTCATTCAATAGTATTAAGCACACTTGTATATATGTTGCCGTCAACATTTAGCACTTGTTTTTAAATGAAGAAAAATTCTAACAAATGCCTCACCCTGCCTTTCCAGTCTCTGCTCCTCCTCTACCCTGCCATGACACTAGGCCCCGTGCACCCCCGGATCATGCTTCTCCTCCTGGACCCCTTGCCCGTGCTGTGCCCTCGGCCTGCAGTGCCCTGCCTCCGGAGCGCTAGCCACCCAGACCCGTGTCGTCCTTCAAGGCCCAACTCCGACACTGCCTCCTCTGGGAAATTGTCCCTGCTGCTCTCAGACAGAACCCACCCCTTGTTCCTTTCCTCCAAGAATAGCTGGGCCCTGCATCTGGCATATTTTATTCTGCCGAGTGGTATACGTAATGGTTTTTATCTCCATCCGCCCCATTCCTTGTGCCTTCCTCGCTACTAATACCTCCCGGTCCGTGTTAATAGTGCTGGATAGAGCCCCTCAGTGGTACGAACAAACAGTTAATGTGCTCATCTGCTAACCAGGGCTGGAGTCCACACCGAGTTGCTGGAGAAGAAAGGCCTGGTGATCTAATCCCCCCCCCCAAAGTAGCCACTGGGCACTGAGGGGCGCACAAGTCTACTCTGACACACGCAGGGTCGCCGTGAGTCGGAGCTGACTTAGGAGCACCAGGCTTTTTTAAAAAAAACATTTTATTGGGGGCTTGTACAACTCTTATCACAATCCATACATAAATGCATTGTGTCAAGAGCATTTACATATATTGCCATCATCGTTTTCAAAGCATTTTCTTTCTACTTGAGCCCTTGGGATCAGCTCCTCATTTTTTCCCCTCGCTCCCTCATGAACCCTTGATAATTTATCAATTTTTTCCCATGTCTTACACTGTCCCATGACTCCCTTTACCCCCTTGTCTGTTGTTCACCCCCCTTGGAGGGGGTTATAGGTAGGTCATTGTGATTGGCACAGGTTTTTGTGGTTCATAAAATGCCATGGCTGAAATTATTTTGAGGAGACAGACGGAGCATTTTATTCATTTTTGTAACCCCATGGTGCCTTGCATATACATGTACAATAAACGATGACTAAACTCTAAAATCCCGGGGTGAATATCTTCTGCGCGCTCCTTACAATGAGTGTATGTGAACTCAACCCCTGTTTCTCTGATAGACGACCCAATGCAAGCATACCCCACCCAAGGGCATAGGCCCCAGGGCCTATCCACGCCTGTGGTGTCCACTCACTGTCTTGTCAGATTGTATCAGAGTTCGGCCTCATTGTTAATCTTCCACTAAATAAACCAGGTCAGATAGGGAAGAGGGAAATGCTTTGGACAATTTGGGAATGAAAATAGGACCAAAGTAGAGCGTCATAGGATGCCAGGCAGTGGCTCAGGTTTTCGGCGCATTCTCCAAGGTGAACTAGCGTGGGGGAAACATGCGTGCCCACGCCTGAGACTACCTTCGTCGTTGGCAAACCGTGATGTAATGCGAACCTCTCTCTTATTTGACACAAGGGTGAAAAGGTGGAGGGGCTGCAAGCACAAGCCCTGTATCCTTGGAGAGCCAAAAAAGACAACCATTTAAATTTTAACAAAAACGATGTCATTACTGTCCTGGAGCAGCAAGACATGTGGTGGTTTGGAGAAGTCCAGGGTCAGAAGGGTTGGTTCCCCAAGTCTTACGTGAAACTCATTTCGGGGCCCATAAGGAAGTCAACGAGGTATGTTTCTCTTCAACACAAATATTTACACAGTACGGGTTAAGTTGTTGTTTGCACACGTTGAGATTCACAGATCTAATTTTGCAGGGTCCTTTTGTGTCCTGCAGAATCTTTGATCTTGTTAACTGCACAAGTTGATGCCCATATTAACAAGGGACCTTTCTATTAAATATTTAAGTGGTCATTTCTCCTTCCCTTGTGGAACCTTGTAAAGCTTACCCTGACTTCTACAAGAGGAAAGTTCACCCCGAGACCCAGAGCACACGTGGATTTCTGCTTAGTATTTAGTCCTGAGCCCAATGCATATGGGCAGCTAGTTAGACTTTACTATCTTTTTCATTACTGTCTTACCGTAGCAGGGAACCTTAAGAAACCTGGTGTTTAATTATACCAGTTAAATTAGATAGATGTTTGACCCAAAGTTACGGACATTAAAAAGATAAGAGTACAAGAATATTCAGTGAGCACGTGTCAGTTGTGCTTTGAAATAGACCTGTCCACAAGCTGTGTGTCCAGTCTTGAAGTGTGTTGAGAAACAAGACTGGCAGTTTAAAAGGTGCCGGCTGGGGTGGTGATGCCCTGGACCAGGGGTTTCTGACTTTGGGAGGTACAGTCCTGTGGGCTGTGGATTGTTCAAAACATGGTACACTGCTTTTTAAAATGAAGATATTTTACTAGATAAAAATCAGTGTCATTTTGACTTTTCTGTTAAAAGGTGAAAATTAAAAATGGGATTTTTTTCTCCCTCTTTCAGCATGGACTCGGGTTCTTCAGAAAGCCCTGCCAGTCTAAAGAGAGTAGCTTCCCCAGCAGCCAAGCAGGCCGTTTCGGGAGAAGGTGAGAGCTGGGCCAAACCGGTTTCTTCAGAGGGGCTGAGGGTGTGGGGCAGTGCAAGACTGTTAGTGTCCGACAGGAAAGAGGATTTCGTTTTTAAATAACGCCGCATTAATTCGCATTCAGTGTGTTAGACTACAGAGGGAAATGAAAGTTTAGCCCTTTCAAAATGCTGCCAAGATATACTGATAATCAGTTTTCCTAGGAATGGTATTGGCCAATTATATTCAGTTATCGGGGCTTTGACTTTTCTTTTTTTTTTTTGATAGCCTTTTGACTTTTGAAAGAGGCCCATCAAATTCAATGAAGGCACTTCTCTGTAGCTCATTGCCACTCATAATATAGCCTTGTCCAACTTCAGATAGGTCTTTTGTTTTAGTACCAAATCTGCACAAGCCAGTTGAGCTCTCATATAACACTGGTACCACTTGTATAACCCCAAATTAAATAGAAACTTAGTTTCTGTTTTTCATGTTCCCTAGCCAGACTGGATTATATAACCCTGAATAGTTCACTTTTAGTATTTATTGCACAATTGATTATATATTTTTTCAGTTCTACTTTGTGGCATGATCATATAAGTATTGTATAAATGCCAGCATACAGTATGGGCTACTATCAAAAAAATTGTTCAAATGAACATAACCCACGCTGTAATGATAAAAAACTGTATCTGCACCCGATGCAGTCATTGCCGATCGTGCTACTGAAGAGTCAGAGAGGCTTTCTGTCCATGGAACGGTCTGACCAGCACTTGCAGCCAGCAGACACCATCACTGACAGTGACACCAGAGGCCTTCCAAAAGCTCGTGGAAAAAAAACATCTTTTAGTTGCTTTTTCCCCCCATAAACTTTTTGAAGTCCCCTCGTGAAGTAACTTTTCATGGCTTCTTGGAACAAAGGTCCCAAGGGTGCGCTGTTGCGTTTAATTTACTGTGATGAGATTATTGCAGTCCCCAGAAACCACGCTTTATCCAAACGAGGGCGAGAAGCGCTGCGCTTTCAGTCGAGATAGTCAAAGTGTGCGTTCAGCAGCATTTCAGACTCACGGTGACCACGGAGCTTTTCCCGAGTGGCGAAGGCAGAGAACCTCAGCACCATGCCAGCCCGGCACTTGGACCTCTAACACGGTCATGAGCCTGATTCTCCGTGTCTGCCCATCAGTCAGGTGGATGTTTGTTGTAAAACCCTCCTTAGGATGAGGGCAGTGACTGTACAAATGTGCTTTACACAATGGATGGTTGTATGGATTATGATAAGAGTTGTGTGAGCCCCTAATAAAGTGATTAAACAAACACTCCTCAGTCACAGCACAGTCCGTCAGAGCACTAGAAAGTGCATTGTGACACACATACACACCTGCCCCTTCACACTTGGGTGTGTACTGTCCTAATCCGGTGTCCCCAGAGGTCTCTGAACCCCACCCTTCAGAGGAGCCCCCTTTGTCGGATCCTGCCTCCGCTCCCTCCCCTGGGTGGGGAGTGACGGCAGAGAGGGTGAGAGCATGGGAGCAGCTTGGGAGCAACACTGTCCGTGTCGGCAACTTTCACTTCCCCTCCGCGTGGCCTTAGCGCAGCGAGGGCGCTCCCTGCACCGCACAGCTGGATGCTGACCTGTTTTCTGCTTTGTACCACGGCCCAACCTCTCCGAGGCCCCGTAAATAGTTCACAGATGAGCCAGCCGACCGACTCAATGCCAATCATCGTGGACATTTACTACGTGCCTTTTCAATGATGGAGGTGATCTTGCCAGCCTAATCAAGGGGAGCGAGGATGTGGGCATTTAAACTTCTGAGGAAAGCTATTTATACATAGGAACCAACCACTTGTGAAAGCCTTAAAAGAATTAAATGTAAAGCGAACTAGAAGCCGGATTAAATAGATTGTCAGCTTGGCTAGCTCCTAAAATCTTGGTTTGGGCAGAGCCGGTTTGGTTCTTAAGAAAGCTGCACAGCAGATGTGGGGCCGCTGCCTGCCCAGTGTCAGGCCTCCCCCTTTCAGGCGAGTGCAGTGCAGGCTAAGGACAGCCTCGCCGAGCCCTCGCAGCTAGCTCCTTTGTGTTGTATGCCTCAGTACAAGTTCAGCCAGAGTTTATGTTTCTGAAGTCTCTTAAGTATTTTTAAAGTTACTTCAAAATGTGGCTCTCAAATGCAAGGAATGGGGGTATAGAGGGGAGCGGGGACGGGTCGGCTTACCAAGGATCCTGTGTGGCCCAGTACGAGATCCATAAGAAGACACGGAGTCAGGAGGCTCATAAATCAGCAGGCTGTATGGCCCTCCCAAAGCAGTCCGAATTTGATTTCCTCGTGTGGGAAATCGTTTTTCCAGTTTTCACTCTGTAGAGGTACAGGTTAGCAGTGCCGGAAGGCTACAGTCACAGAGCCTCCTGTTTCCCGAGAGCATTTAGGTGGCCCCTGTGTGCGGTGGGCCAGCATCCTCCACAACCCGCAGCCACTGCCCCACAAGAGCTCAGGTCAGCACTGCTACTGTTGGCCAAGGCCCTGGGCAGCCTCTCGGGGCTGCCCCCAGCCAAAGGTGCACTCCTTGGCCGAGCATCAGGTGTTGTACTTGTTTCCGTTGTCCTTGCTGCTGCAGAGGCTCACGTAATTAGCCAGAGGGTTCTTCTATGCTAAATTTCACATTAGATTCCACATTTAAAGAATCTCACCCTGATTTTTAAAGAGCGCATGTATTATCTGTTCTAAAATGACCATGTCAGGTAAATGGTGATTGATTTTTTATTGCTTTTTGAAATAGCCAAGCCTTGGCATAAGACAGGGAAGGAGTGGACATGAAGACACACGCGTTCATCTTTCGGTAGCTCTGTTTCAGGTGGAGTGAGGAGAAGCTGGTGACCCATGAACTTTCTGGACCTTAACTCAAACCAGCTGTGATGGAGACAAAGTTTATAAGTAAACTGAAAAAGTTCCTTTGGGACAGGCACACCCTTAAAACTAAGGACCCTAAAGGAATTCTTATCCTTTAAAACTGAATCACAGAAATAATAACAACTTAGCAGAAAAAGGTGTGATTATTTTCTGGGGTGGAGTGGACATTGCTTTGAAACCCCCTCCCCCACCCCCACCCCTTCGGTGCTGGACCAAGAGTAGATGCCCATACTGAACTGAACGGTCTATATTTGTGCCCTAGCCGTTTCCTGCTATCTCCAGTTATGACACAACCTTTTACTCAGGCCAGTGAGCAAGACCAAGTGTGTCTGTCTCAGCATCCAATTTATGTAAAGGAGGTACCAGCAAGTTCTCTGAGATCGCAGCTTGCCATCATTGGGGCTGAACTACAGGTATTTGAGTGTGCGCCAGGAGCCTGCGTGTGAGTGCATCCAGCCAGTGCCCGGCACAAAGCAGCCCCTCAGTAGGTGTTCTCTGCCAGTTTCATTGAAAAAGAAACCCTGACGTGAAACTGTACCTTGCTCTTGGTACTTGTTTTCGGTCATCATGCAGTTGGTGTTTTTGTTCCCATGACTGGATCTTTCCACCCATGGTTCCGTGTCGCAACAATGGCAGTTTATGTGCAACTGGGGGAGTCGGGTATACTCTAGCTGGATATTTTATCTGTGACTAGCCTTTTTCTTGAATGGCATGTCGTCTAACTTCCGTGTTCGTGAACTTGCTTTGCAAAGCTGTCTGGGATCTCCTTAAACAATCAAGCTCTCTCCGTATCTCACCATCTCTCCCCACCAGAGTTCATTGCCATGTACACTTACGAGAGCTCTGAGCCAGGCGATTTAACCTTTCAGCAAGGGGATGTGATTGTGGTTACCAAGAAAGATGGTGACTGGTGGACAGGAACAGTGGGCGACAAATCCGGAGTCTTCCCTTCTAACTATGTGAGGCTTAAAGATTCAGAGGTAAACCCACATTAACTGTTTCCTCTCCCTTTCTGTTCAGTGGCTCTCTGCCTGGAGAGTCTCCATGTTGACACTGGAACCTTCGGTTGGGCTTTGCTAAGTCCTGGAACATGACAGAAATGCAGTGTGAACTGTAATTGGGTGAACTGGTCATTTGGTGCTGCAGGGTAAGCCGTGGCCTCCCACAAACCAAGTGGCAGTTGTAATGCTCTGCAATAATTTCTATTCGTGCGGGTTAACCAACTTCCGGTTTGAACCAACTTGATTTATTAGGTCATCACCATCGTTGGTTGTAGGTGTCTCCGGAAAGACACACCGCAGTATTTTGCCCTTGTAAACAGAAAGTCTCAGTGAAGCTGAGCCCAGACTATTGGGCAGCAGGGAGCATCTAAAAGACCTGCATGTGTCTGCGTAGTGAAAAGAGACCGTGTCGGTTTGACCGAGCCCTTGTGTCTATCGCCATTGATGGGGGACTGAATTTATTTTAAATGTTGCTGTGCCGTGAAGTTGGAAGGGGCTCCCATTACTTTTGAGTGGACTCTGAACCCAGGAGCGGATGAAGTATGGTTTCTGATAGTGTAGGTTCAGTGAACATGGAGGAATGAGGGGAGCCTGCCACAGAGCATGGGATCCACCTTGTGATCGAGTTAGGGTGCCAGGGTGCGAATGTAGTCAGTTACAGATCTGCCGCACCCCGTAAGCAAATAGGAACTGACTTTTGTGTCATTTCAGTTACTTTCTTTTTCTCCTCACACCACCTCCTAGAACTGAGAGAAGGATCTTTGATCAAGAACCTGACAAGGTGGCTTTCTCGGGTGTAAGCATGTGCACAAAGCTCTCTCTGTCTTCTAAAGGCCCATCAGAGGGTGTGAAGGAGCTCGGGTGCTAACCCAACAGGCTGGTGGGTGAGGCCCACCCAGAAGCTCCTCGAGAGACAACACGGGTCTCCCCCCAAAAGATGACGGCCCAGGAAATCCCATGGGGCAGTTCTGCTCCATCACGAGGGTGCTCTGAGTTGGACTAGCGGGGTTCTTTACAGGCCCCTGTGCTGGGAGCTGCTTGTGGGGACCAGGCTGCACCTGGCACTGGGCTATACTAGTTCCGACTCCAGCCATCCCTGCTCCTCTGCATTTCTCAGGAATGCTCTTATTTGGTGGTGGTGGTGGTGGTGGTGGTGGTTGGATTTTTTTTGTGGGGGGATGGGGGGGAATGTAATTTTGATTCTCTGTCTCCCATGCTGTGGTCTTAAGAGCAGCAAGCTGAAATATCCTTTGAGGGGGATTTGCATCAGATGCCCACCCTGAGAGAATTTGGCAGGAATCTCCTTTCTGAGACAGCTGGCATGTGTACTCTATACCCGGAGACAGGGAGTGAAACCCTGGCCCAGGCCAGCTTCAGACAGGTGGCTTTGCAGGGAAGTGAAGGAAAAGCAGGAAAGCCTCGATTTGACGATATTTGCTAACTTGCGTGAAAATTCTTAAAGTGGCCTTAACTTTTTGCATCAGCTAAGACCCCAAAACATTATATTATGTTTTTAGTCAATTACAGTTTTCTAGAAAAAAAAAATTGAAGCCAACAAGCTAAAAAGATTCCAGTGGCACTTTAAAAACAAAACACAGCCACATTTGTTTTTAAGGTACTAAGTTGTAAGGTCTTTTCTTAACAGGCAAAGCTGAAGCCACAGACTTATCAGTGTGCTTGAATATTTGGGACGCGGAGCTACATTAACTAATAACAACAGGGAAGAAAATCAGCACTGCTCATTCGCCTTCCTCAGAGGCAGAGTTCTGTGTAGCACATGGAAAACCAGGCCCAGCTTGGAATCCAGAGAGGCAGAATTGTCCAGTGGGTGTGAGGTCGGATGCACCCCTCCTAGCAACCTGCCCTGAGTGAGATGGGGCAGCATGTCCACAGCATTCTTGAGGCACAGCCAGGACTGAGCCCACACTGCTGGTGTGGCATTCTTAGGGGAGCACAGTGAAGCTGCCTGAACTCTGTGGTTGAGTTTTGCCAAATGGTGCTCTTCCTTTTTATTGTACTGGAAGGTGGGCAGTGTTTGATAAAGCCTGTTACTGGAAAAGTAACCGGTTATTTGGAAATTATGTTTCCTTGGTATTCCTTTAATTGATATTTATCCTGTAAGAATGATGAGATAGAAATCATATCACTGTTTACTATTAAAACATAGCCAGAGTAAAAGTTTAAACCCAGACTTTGCCTGGTATGTGGCAATTCAATGTCAATAGCCAAAGTAAAGAGACTGTGAGAGGCCATGCGCTTCTAATCTTCCAGGGGCTCTGTTTGTTTCGCAAGCATTTTGCTCGGTTGTGTTTTCATTGTAATACCTGGTTTGCTGCAAGATCAGGGCACAAGGGTGAAACTTCATTCAGAATAAAGCAGTTTGTCACAACAGATTGTGGGCTGGCCCCTGTCCCAACTCTCGCGGTCTCCGTTGGCTTACTTAGTCAGTTTAAAGTTCCATGAGTGTCCATGATAGGAATTCAGCCCTCAGCACTTTGGGGAGACTAACTGTTGGACAGAAACGTGTCTGCTTTAGTGAGGTGTGCTTCCCAGCACCAACAGAGAAGTGCCATCGTCTAAAAGTATAAAGAAATAGCAGGGAAGGCTGCCTCTCAGGACAGCAAGAAGTGGATGGAAGGGGTCTGGGTAAGCTTTTCAGTGTATCTGTCTTAAGTTCTTTACAAGTTCAAACTCTATAGCAAATGTAGCAAAACGTGAATATCTGAATGTATTCCACCTGGGTGGTGGGCTCAGAGGTATGTGTTTAGCATGTAGATGACTCGCCTTCCTTGCTTGCAATCCCCTGTTTGTTTCGGCCAGTCCCAGGAAGCACCTGTGGCACACACCTGTGTCACTCCTGGAGCAGAGCTCCTGAGAGGCTGGGATGCCAGGTCCTCTGCTAGGGTTCTTGTACACCAAAGCCACGTGTTTCAGTCCTTGTTGCGTCTTGTGTCTTCCTGACGCCTATCCCGAGGTCAGGTGACAGGGAACTACCGTGCTTCCCCAGAGTGGAAACAGGGACGTAGGGGCTCAGGATGGTTTGTATCATCATTAATCGTTTGTTTTTGTTTTTAAAGTTGCATGACCAAAACTATTCAGTATGCAAATGAGACCTTTTGCTCTGTTTTAAGGGCTCTGGAACTGCTGGGAAAACAGGGAGTTTAGGAAAAAAGCCTGGTAAGTTACAAACCCTGATGCTTATTTTTCAATGTTTTGATTGTAATCGATGCACTCCCCATCTTTGATTATTGGGGCCAGGAGCTTTTAGAAAGAGAGAAAGCGAGAAAGACCCATTCCTCATGCATCCATAGTTATGAAACTTGGCTGTTGTCTCACACTGGGGAGTGGGAACATTACCAGAAAGAATGTTCCCTGGTGTTGTGAAGAATGAATCCAGGCAAGATGGCACTGCTTGGATCTGCTAGGATGGCAGGGTCTGCTGCTTCCCACTCACTCTGCCTGTGAGGCCGGGGCAGCATTTGTCATTTCCTGACAGCACAGTGAGTCAGTCCCAGGACTCACACGGAGGAGGAGGCTGGAGCGATTACAGAGGGGCGGTCTAGGCCAGATCCGGTTCCTTTAGGAGCAGTGGGGCAGTTTTCCTCAGGTATCCATTGAAAAGGTAGGAAATTGTATTCATCCCTCTGGGTTCAAAGTGTTGTTGTGCATTTGAACAAAATCACATGTTCTGTAAATAGGAGCACGAAGCCGAGAAGAAAGGAACAGATGTGAAAGAATACGGCTGTCTGGCCTGTCTTCCTTGTCGCAGTCATTGGAGCTTTTTAAAAGGCTACTGTGTCCTCGGGAGAGGATGGGTTGACAGAGGCCCTGCTGTGCTGAGAGGCTGGCTGGGTCTGGTAGTACAGGGCTTCCCTGAGCAGCAGAAGAGAGTCTGGCAAGCGGGGCTAGGATTTTTGCAAGGTTCCAGATAGTAGACTCTCTGGGTCAAACCTGTTTTACCTGTCAGTAGCCTTCTGCGTTTAGGACTCTTGTTCCAGGTGCTTCACATAACCCTGAAAACCAGCGAGCTGCTCAGAGGCCCAAAAGACAGACAACGCGGTGGCAGATCCTCGGCTGAGCCAAGACCCCCACCCCCACCCCAAGCCCAATAGGACAATCATTTAGACTTCTCCATTCTGATAACTCTTGGAGGCTAGAGCCTGTTAAAGTAGAATCCTTTCTCCACACCGATTTCCCTGCTAAAGCTCTCAGAGCCAAGGTTGTCAGCAACCTGGACATGCTCTCTTGCTTCTGCGCGCTCAAAGCATCAGAGCCAGGCATGCGCGGGGACTGCTTGGTGCTCCTGTCCTGGTGGCGCCTCAGAATGCAGATCAGGATGACGGGTCCACCCATGTGCTTGCCTCTGCTCGCTCCCCGAAGTTAGTGGAGAAGTTGGAAAACTCTCTGAGTCGGGGGTTTTCTGCCCACCCTCCTTCTGTCTTTCCTTCCTTCCTTCCAGGAGCTGTTATTGAGGGTCAGGTGTAGAAGACGAGAGCAGGTGGTTCTGTGTTGCTTCTAGAAGCTCAGGAGATGGCAGTGCAGACAGCACTCGGGGTCCAGTCTTGGGGGGTTTGTCTCTGTCAGCTGAAATGTGTCTTTTAGAGCCTGGTCTGTGCATCTGCTGGGCTTGTCCCGTGAGGTCTGAACGTGCAGGGGCAGCACAGGGCAGTGGACATTTTCCCTGTACCCAGCTGTGGTGGTGGTGGTTGCTGTTTGCACCAAATGCCCCTTCTTGATGCCAGGCTACCCCTTAGCTTGAAATAACAAGAAGGAAGCTTTCATTGACAGGACTCATTCCCGACTGACTCCTAGCCAATGTTCGTAGAGCACCCTCAAAATGTGGCATGCGCGTGCGCACACACACACACACACACACACACACACACACTCCTAAAGAAAGCACGGCTGTTGACACAGCACCTTGTGTGTCAGCCGATGACGTCAGAGGAGACAGTTTCTCTTTCTACTCTCCTAGGCAGATGGACGAGTGCCACTTGTTTCTTTCACGGGGTGCTAGTTGGGGGGGGCGGGGTGGAGAGGGCAGGTCAGGGTGGAGACGTCTGAGGTCCGGCCACTATCGGCAAGTTCACGGGACTTGTGAGACGCTCTGGGACAGAAAGTGCTGGACATGGACATGGGGTGCAGAGGGGATGAGGGAGGTTGGTAAGTAACTTCTGACCGGTGATATGCGGGCGTCCTAGAACCGGACCCTGGACGGGGCAGAGAGTTTTTCCGAGCCTTGAATGCTGCTTGTGCAGCTCAACACATAGAACAGGGTCACCGTGCCGTGAGCCTGGCTCCTCCCATAGGAAACCCTCCCACGACGTTGGTTTTGATGGTGCGAACCTGTGACGCTGGGGCAGAAGCTGTGTCTTAGGAGCGCTCCCTCCTGGCGACTATAACCCGATCTCGCATTGTGTGGTCTTGTTTTCCAGAAATTGCCCAGGTGATTGCCTCGTACACCGCGACCGGCCCTGAGCAGCTGACCCTGGCTCCGGGCCAACTGATTTTAATCCGAAAAAAGAACCCAGGTGGATGGTGGGAAGGAGAGCTGCAAGTACGTTTCTTGTCCGTTTGAGTCCGGTTCTCTGCTCACATTTGAGTGCACGGGTGACCCAGGGCCACTGTCTGCCCGGGAACTACGGCTGGTCCTACACTGCTTGGGTCTTGGGGTTGGTCGGGAAAGACATCACGCTGTCTGAATCAGTCTTGTGCCTGGACTTTGGGTTGCCAGGAGCAGACTCCCGAGAGCTAGGGACACATCTGAAAACTAACCCAAACCGATTTGATTCCAGGGTCCAGCTGGTCAATGTTGGACTGGTGGGGATTCCTAGAATAACAGGGGACACCCATGGACTCGCCTTTCGGGGTGGGAGGGCTGATACCTCCTATAAGTCTCATCTGCCCCGGCAAAGATGCTTTTCAAAAGGTCTCTGTTGTGCAGTAGAACCTGTGAAACCTGCATAAGGCAAAAACCTGCCAGAGAACAAGAATGCAGAAGTTCCCCCACTTAGAGCGATAGAAACTGGCCAAGCTGCATGCAGCCTGTCAAAGGCGGAAAGACTTGGGAGACTTGGAAGACCAAGGCAGTCCCGTCAAGTTCCCGTTCACCAGTCTCAGTGTACGGCTCGTGGTGGGCATGGTGAGAATGCGCAGGGAGTGCCAGAGCTCAGGGAAATTCAGAATGTTCCTTTCTTTCTATTCTCGGCCGCCCTGGAGGGCCTCACCATGGGGAGCTTGTGGGTGGGCTGTGCAGACCGAACTCAACTGGCTCAGGAAGCTGACCTTGAGAATTCTGTATCCCCACACCCCCTTCTGAGTGTGTCTGTCTCTGTGCTGCTGGGTCCTGCCCCTTAGGCGGGGTCCAGGTACCTCACTGTCCTCTGGCCCCACATGTCCCTCTCCTCTAGTGAGGGTGCGGGGACTCCCACTGGACGCTCTGCCTGCTCAGCCTCCAGTCTCACCACTCCCCCGGGCTCTCCTGCCTTGATGCCTGAGTGCCTGCCCTGTCTGCTGGCCGTGGCATGCAACCAGAAGCAGGCACCCCTGGCGTGATGCAGGGCGGCTCCGACTGGCCCGCCCTGACAGTGAAGGCTGCTATTACTTCCTGTGCACGCTCTTGATTTTCCCGTCTGTGTAACCAGCTCCTTGGAGGCAGAGGACCGGCCTGTTAGCCTCCATGCTCTCTGCCTTTCTCACAGACACTTGAATGGTTTGTGCGGAAGTGGGTGAAAGGCCATGGTCAAGGAAGTTTCCCCTGCTTTCTCCAGGGGGCCCTGTGCCTGCTTTTTTGCAGCGGCAGGCGGACACCACGGGAGCCCTAAGTCAGAGGGGCCAGGTGTCCGCCGGTAGGTTCCCCGTGGCCCTGCACCCAGGGCATGGAGTCTGTCAGACCAGCCTCAGAGTGACCCAGAGGCAAACCAGATATCATGGGGTTCGTCTGACTCCTGGCACCCGGCCGGCGTGTGTCCGAATACCCTGTGCGTGTGTCAGAGGGTCTTCTCCCAAAGTGACCTTCCAAAACCAGGTCCTCGGGCCTCTCCTCTGAGGAGGTGTGGTAGACTCGAGCCACCACCTTCAGGGAGCAGCCCAACATGCCAGCCTGGCCCTGGGCACCCGCAGCGAGGTGAATTGGCTGGTAGGAAGGCAGAGGGCATTGCCTTCTCTTCATATCGTTTCTCTGTTTGGGGTGTGGGTAATACCGTCGCAGGTAGGTGCTAACTGCTCTTATTACTATTACTGATCTTAGAACCATACATCATTTTTGGCATCAGCCAGAACCTCCACGCGTCTTGAATTAACAGCTGAGAGCTGATGTCTTGTGAGCAGAGCTTTCGGCCCTAGATACACGGCAGGTGTCCCCAAGGGCATGATCACGGGATCCACTGAGGCAAAACCGCGCCAGATGTGCCGAGCATGGCCACCACAGAATTTCAGCCCCGGTCATTTCACTTTGGACATTTTATAAACCACTTGGTGTGCAGTGAGAGCTAAGCTTTGTGTTCGTCACAGGGCAAATTGTCTGGTGAAACAACACAGAAAAACCTTTTTTAAAGAAAAATCTTAAAGAATCGTTTTCTTACTAGGCACGTGGGAAAAAGCGCCAGATCGGCTGGTTCCCGGCTAATTATGTGAAACTTTTAAGCCCCGGAACAAGTAAAGTTACTCCAACGGAGCCGCCAAAGCCTGTGGCATTACCTGCAGGTAAGTAAGGTGTTTGCAGCCTCGGGTTGGAGATTGGCGTGTGTGCCAGCTCCGACGTTAGTCTTTGCCCCAAGGCCCCATGAGGCATCTTCAGGTGTTACTCACAGCTTCCCCTCCCTCAATGGAGCAGGTCTCTCAGGGACCAGATGTCTACGTAGTGCTGCTGTGCTGGGGACAGCTGTGACATGAGAGCCAGGTGTTGCCCTTGATTTCCTTCCAGCTCTTGAAAGTGGGGGTGCAGTTAGGGGGTGAGGAGTCAGAGGGGCAGACCTAAAAATAAATGGCAGAGTCTAAGTGGGAGATGGAGCCGGAGGCCGCATGTCTGCTGGGCCGTATGTCCGCTGCAGACTGAGACAGTCCCGACATTGTGAGCAGAGGCTGTGGTGGGCGGGTCGGATCCCGACATTGTGAGCAGAGGCTGTGGTGGGCTGGTCGGATCCCGACATTGTGAGCAGAGGCTGTGGTGGGCGGGGCGGATCCCAACATTGTGGACAGAGGCTGTGGTGGGCGGGGCGGTGTGGGCCCTCCTGAAGGGTGATAAAGAGCTTAGAAGACTGACTGCCACCCAGCTGGGTCTGCTTTCTCATCGAAGAGACTCCACCAGATGCTTCCGTGAGCATGGTGGTGAGGTCCGAGCAGCCCGGTTCTGCTTTAGGTCTTTAAGCCAGCAACTTTTGAGTGGCATGCGTAGGAAGCCTTTGTTCCAGTGTACCTTGCGGTTCCAAGTCTGCTGTACCGAAGCCAAAAGTCCAGGCGTCTCTTGCCCACTAAATAGCTTTCCAGCCAGTCTTCTTGAAACCATTTCCTTTGACCTCCAAACCAAACCCCTTCATGAAAAGATCCACTGTCAACACTCCCAGCCCAAACAAACCCGGCCCCCACTCTGGCATCCCTGGACCCAGTGTCTGGGAAGCAGTGGGGGGTGCCTTAACAGTGTCCACACACAGCCACCGAGTGAGTCAGTCTGACTCATAGTGACCCCGTAGGACAGGGTAGAACTGCCCCCTGTGGGTTTCTGAGACTGTAAATCTTCACAGGAGTAGAAAGCCTCATCTTTCACTCACAGAACAGCTGGTGGTTTTGAACTGCTGACCTTGCAGTTCACAGCCCAGCATGTAACCCAGTACATAAGACCAACAGGGCTCCTTGGTCTGTGCTGTCCATTCTCGGTGAAGGAGGATGAGGACTCGGCAGGCTTTGTGGTAGATGGACAGATTGGCTAACTTGGTGTGGGGTGCTGGTTGCTGCTGCTGGGTCTGCCTCTGTGGGCAGGCCTTGGTGTCCCTCCTGCCCACTAGAGAAAATATTAATTGGACTGACTGAATTATTGGAGAATGTGGGAAACCTGGGAATAGCTTGGTCAAGAAAAATGATTGGGCCTGCAGTCTAAGGTACAGACTGAATGTGCCTGTGAAATGTAAACATACCAGGGAGTGAAACCATGTAATGTCCTAGGGTCAGGGGACAGTGAGAGAGGGGGAGAAGATGCAGTGATAGTTCCCTGGCAGAACGCGTGGGTTGAATTTCCAGGCAGTCCACAGCCACCACCTATCTGTCGCGGGCGGCTTCTCTGTCCCTGTGATGCTGACCAGGGCTCGGCAGAGCTGCCAGATGAAAGTAAGAGCTCGTCCAGGCGTGGCTGGCGATCTACTTCTGACACCATCTCATGGGAACTGTGGCTCGCAGAGTGGCCCATCCTGGAGATCACAGTGAGGGGCCAGGCCGCATTTCTGAGGCGCCTGGTCTGGGGCCTGATTCTACTGCAACCAGCCACAGGTTTGGGAGAAAACGAGGAAAGGTGGCTCCTGGGTATGGCCATGGCTTATTTTGAGACCCAGGCCACGGAGGAGGATTCTTTTCAAACACAGGGCTTCTCCTTCTGCAATGTGAGTTTTCTGGCGGTCAGATGAGTTAGCCCCTTCTACCTGACCAGAATGAGAAGAAAGCTGCAGGAAAGTCCCCTGCCGCCCACAGCCATGCCGTCCTCCAGTCGGCACTGTGCAGGAGTGCCACTGCCCTCCCACGGGCTCAGGTCCATGAGGAGCCAGGTGATCACTGGGCATCTTCTGCTGACACTGTTGGCATGAAAAGCTGTTCTACAAACCAGAGAGCGTAGGGTCTTACTGTTAGTATGCGACCCTTCATCTCCCTCCACTGCCATGCCATCACGGCCCCGTTAGAGCACCTCCACTTCGTTTTACCCTGTTCCGAAAGAACAAACTCACACCCAGGATAACTCCCGGTCCAAGTTGCGCATGCGAGCTGCCTGCCGCGGGCGCACCGCTGCTCACCCAGCCTGTCTCCTGCAGTGTGCCAGGTGATTGGGATGTACGACTACACGGCGCAGAACGACGACGAGCTGGCCTTCAGCAAGGGCCAGCTCATCAACGTCCTCAACAAGGAGGACCCCGACTGGTGGAAAGGAGAAGTCAGCGGACAAGTGGGGCTCTTCCCCTCCAACTACGTGAAGTTGACCACAGACATGGACCCTAGCCAGCAATGTAAGTGCCTGGTGGTGCTGTCACCACCCCTCTCTGCTCTCTTTCGGTAAAACATGCAGCATTGCTCTGATTCTGCGAGCTTTGTTTGCAGAACTTAAAGCTAGACATTGCTGCATTCACAACAGTCTCTTTGAAGACCTTCTGTAATGCAAGGCTTTATCTTGTGGGGCTTTTGTTTTGTTTTATTTTCATTCCTTCTGTAGCATGCCCCCTTCCTCCCTCCCCCACCCTTTTTCCTTTATTTTATTTTATTTTTTAAGTCATTTTGGCACCATGCTGTTTACATGCCTGACTCATTTTCCTAGCTTGAATTTTGCTCATTGTTTTGTTTTGCTTATGTGTTGTTTTCCTCCTTTTTCTAGGAATCATATGTTGTCCATCCCCCACTCAGGCTTGAAAGTCCTCAAAGAGACCCACTATCCCATATCACTGCCCAGAGGGATGATGGGAGATGCAGCCTTGATCATGTGACTTCCAGCATGATCATCTACTGCCTTCTGAGTAGAAGAACTCACTGCAGAGCAGTTTACCTCATTTTACCTTAGTTGCATGTGATCGCAATGTTTGAGTTATTACTTGCCGAGATAGAAGCAAAAAAATTACAAAAATCTACAGGGTAGTGGGTCCTTTTGTGGCTTTTCCCGCAACTCAAATTGATTCCCCTCACCTTTGCACAGGTGCTTTTCAATAGTATGAAATTCCTTTTAAAGATACATATTTAGCCTTTTAATAAAAACAAAACAAAAATTTTTTAATTAAAAGAGAAAAGAAATCACTTCTTTGCTATTTTTGGTTTTGCAAAAAGACCCACTATCAAGGAATGCTGCATGTGCTATTTAAAACAAGAATGTCCCAAGTGTCCATAAATCTGAGCCTGTGTACTTCATTTTGTCCAGTGTTAACAACTGAATTGTGTAGTTCGGATGCGCCTGTCCCCCTTCTCCCTGACTGTAGAAGTGCAGAGGAGTTTAGTATCTCTGTTTTAAAGATGTGTAGAATGAGCCCAGGTAAACAGAAGGTATTTCGTGCTTGTTTGTGTGTATCAGCTGTAATTGGGTGAGCATGTAATACATCCTGTGTACATAAAAAATTTGTTCTTTCTGTGGCAAAAGCTTCTACCGTTGTACGATGCTCTGATCATATTGCATTAATTTTATTTTGCACAGTGACCTGGTAGGCACCTGAGAAAGCACCTGTGTTTGTGTTCGGTCTCAGATCTATCTGCTTGAGTTGGTGTTTTCTGTTTGGGGTTTTCTTCATTGTGTGTGTTCGCATTGCCACGAATCAGTAGACAACAACCGTAGAGGTGGTTATGGTCAACACCACTGCCGGCAGGCCCCTCTCGTCTCTGTTACATGCCGTCTGATTCCACTTACCTTTCCTGGAATGACACATTTTGAACAAATAATTTTTCTGACAAGAAAGAATGTATAGGACTCTCCCGCAATTAATTTCCAATGTTTACATTTTTTAACTAGACTGTGGAATTTCCACAGATTAATATCAAATGGAGCCCATGGTCCGTCTTCTGTGTTCGATGTGCTGTCGCCGAAGCCATTGTTTGTCTCCCCAACAGTAGTTTTAAACTCTCAATAAAAATGCCTGTTGCTGGCAGCACAGAATAGGAGGGGCTGGGGGCTGGAGTGGGCCGGGGAGGGGAGGGGGCAGCCTCATGCACAATCTAGCGGTTCTAATGCCTTCTCGACACTAAAGCGGCACTCGGTGCGCACCCTGCCGGCGGCCTCGGGTGTGCTAGCCGTGCTCAGAGGCCCCTCCTCGCCCCCTTGCGCGTCAGTATTTTCATGGACCTGAATGTAAAATATATATATATCTAATCCTGCGGCTTTAACAACTGTAATACAACCTTTCGAACTAGTTACGTGTGTAGATAATTAAATTCTTCATATGAAAGTTAGCCAGAAATGTCTCTGTGTTCTTGGCGTCGGAACCTGGCTGTGGCGACAGGGTCCCAAACAGACCGGACGGCAGCAGGTGGCCGACGGCCAGTGCGCCCGTTTTGCCCTGTGCTCTCGGAAACACAGGCCTGACCGTGTCTCGCAGGTCGTGACTGACCAGCCGCCCTCCCCCTGACCAGCATAGAGGCCACGCCTCCTTTGTCCTGTCCATCGGGTTCTCTGTATATGTCGCAGAGTGCAATACTTTGGATTGAAGTGTGTGATTCAGTTCCGGGAACAAAACCTTTGTCCGAAAGTTGTATCATGATAAAAAGACCGTTGACATCCCCAAATAAATGGCTAACAATGGAAACGTCCGCATCAATTGGCCAGGATCTGTCTCGCGTCACACACTCCAGTTTAGCCGCCTTTACAGAAATAAACCAATGTCCCCATTTTTTCATTTGTTTGCTACATCTTTGATTCACGCTGTCAGCTCCCCTTGTCCACTTCCCCTGGCACGCAGGGGAAACTACTGCTTGGGGGTGGGGGAGACCTCAAAGACATGCTCGATACCCTGCTGGTTCTCAGGTCAGGGTCCCTATCCTGGGGTCCCATTCAAATGGAAGAAACCAAGCGGAAAAGCCAGCTCCTGCAGTGCAGGTCCCCTGCATATTCTGTGAGATCAGCTTTGTGCGAGGAGAATGAAGGCAGCATCGCTGAGTCAGAATGCCCACCCAGAGCAGATGGGGGTGGGGGAGGGGAGCTGCAGGGAGAGGGGCTCAGAATTCTCCCAGAAGTCCTTTCTTAAGCCGAGATCTGAAGAATAAGTTGGATCCAGGTGAAGAGGAAAAAGGGATATTCTAGGTGGGGGTGTGAGGGCTTGCCTGGGGTGGGAAGAGAGTGGCTCTCCGTCATTGCTCCCTAACGAGCCCCTCACAGGACAAGTCATAGCAGTGCGCCCCACATTTCCCCCCAGGCCCCTCCCGTGGTTTCTGTCCCAAACCTTGAGCTTGGCTGGAAGGGGTGCGAGTGCCAAGGGGGTACCTGCAGTGCTTTGGGAGTGCTCTGTGGGAAACTCTGGATCAGTGTGCCTCTGTGACGGTGACACGAGCTGTCCCCAGCAGACTGCTCTCTGCACTTGGCTTCACAAAGCATTCGCTGTGGGACTGCGGAGCCCCTCACCCGCGGTTCTCGATCCTCCCAGGGGAGGTTGGTCATGCCTGGAGATGGTTTCTTGATGGCCACAAACCTGGGAAGCGGGGTACCCATCCCATCTCACGAGTAGAAGCTGAATGCCCCACAATGCATGAGACAACCCCCCATAACAAAGAAGCAGCAGGCCCCACACATCACTACCAGGTTAAGAGCCCCGGGCTGTCTCGCTCACTGGCTACCAGGGCGAGTGTTGACCTGGTTACTCATCGTCAAGTGACCCTGTTCGTGGCTGCCAATGTTGCTGTGGTGAAAACCAAACTCGCCGCCATCGCCTCAGTTCTGACTCTTGGTGACGATAGGACAGGGCAGAACCAGCCCTGTGGATTTCCAAAGCTGTAATTCTGTACAGCCCCAGAAAGCCTCTTCTCTGTCCCTTGGAGCAGCTGATGGTTTCAAACTGCTGACCTTGCAGTTACCAGCTTATTGTAACCCACCACACCATCAGGGTTTCTTATAGCAACCATTTGGTAAATTTACTCATTGGAGAAATGTATTTCAAATGAAGGGACTTCAAAACATTTGTGGAAAATTTAAAGCCTCTAAAACCAAACTCAATTGCCTTCAATTCGATACCAACTCATAGCGACCCTATAGAACAAAGTAGAACTGCCCCTGTGGGTTTCCAAGACTGCAACGCTTTACGGGAGCAGAAAGCCTCATCTTTTCCCAACAGAGACTGGGAAGCCTCATCTTTCTCCGGCACAGCAATGGTGACTCGGAACTGCTAACCTTGGGGTTAGCTTACAAGCCCACATTGGATCATCTGCACCTCTGTGGTGGTGTTCTCATCAAAAACAAAAATCTAGTAGGCTCCAGGAAAGCCAACTCCAATACTGTTGAATTGACTGTGACTCTCATCCAGCCAATAGGATCCCCAGGGCTATGAATCTTACCTAAAGCAGGTGGCCTCACCTTTCATCTGAGAAGCAGCTGCTGGCTTTGAATCCCCCGCCTGGCGAGCCTGCCCAGTACTTCACACCTGGTGCCAGTATGCTTCCTAGTAACACTAGCTCAGTGCAGTGCTCTAATACGTTTAACCATACGAAATTGCCAATATGATGTTGCTGTAGAAACGTCCATTTCCCATGGTTTAACTTAGGCATAGGAGTTGGTGCTCCAAATGCCTTTTGAAGGAGAGACTTCACACAAATCCCTGAACATGAAGGGAATTCCACAGCTCTGGTTCTTGGCATATATTCATTATTACTCCAACCCAGAGAGCAAGCCAAGGCCTCTCTCCAGCCCCCCTTTCCTTTAGATCTGAGCTTCCCCAAAGCCACAGTAGGACTCTTGAGAGGAGGGGCTCCGACATCTTCCTCCTTTCGTCTGAGAGGGGTCCCCCCCCATCACAGGAGCCAAACCTCCTTTCCCGCTCCAGTGGGGGAGCTAGGGCATAGGCATCACAAATTGCAATCAACCCTGCTTCCTGGTAAATTGAAACATCACTTCTGGAAGAAAGCAGTTCGTCTTTTCTTTTTTTCCCTTTTTGTAGCTACCTTATACATTAATCCTGTCGATTCTAGCTCCAAAAATACCGAAGTGATTTTTTTTAGAGAAAACATGTTGGATCCCAAGGAAGCATTGCCCTCCTGTGGAGTGGCTGGCGGGGAATGGGAGTGCTGTCACCCTGTGCCACCCGGACCCCGCCCTCTCGCCAAAGCGTCTGATGTTTCGGATCCGGTAGGATGGGGAAACACACCATCAAAGGACACAGTGGCCTCTGACTATGTCTCTTCAGCCACCGTTCTCTGGGCCCTTCTCTGGAGCACTCCGCTCCGGAAAAGCCAGGCTGGCTGTCCGTGTCGAAGCGTGCCGCTGCCTCTTCTTGAAAGGGACAGGTAGTGTTAAGTTATATGACTTGATTCACAGACTTTTAAGAAGAGAAAG